CTTACAAATGTTTCAGTGCTAAACACAACTCATAGAAAAAAAAAATCTTTTTTTACACACTTTACTAGGAAAAAATTTTTATTTTACACACTTTACTAGGAAAAAAAAAATCTGCCAGCAAAGGCAGGTGACCAGAAACATCATTTTATCCCCTATTTTCTAGCATGATATTTTAACAATCTTCCATTGATACTTTTCATTTACTCTGAACTGTTGGATCATTTTCCTCGTCTACATTGAGATAAGCGTGTTTCTACTCATCTTTCATCTGCATAAGGTTAAAAAAAAAAAAAAAAACAACAAAAAAAAAACAAAAAAAAAAAAAAAAAAAAAAAAAAAAAACAGTGCCTTGGTGCTGCCCAGGAACCTGGCCCAGAAGGCTCCCAGGTGGCACCCACAGGGCAGGAAGGACTTGGGCATGGGTTCTCTCCCAGCATTGAAGCAGACACAACTGGGGATACTGCCAAAGATCACCCTGAGCAATAAATAGTCTGTTTTTCTCTGAAATATATTTATCCACTAAATGCTGTCTCATTAAAGTTGAAGGTAGTTGTGGTGGCTATTTGATACCAGTCCTTCCAGTGTGGATTTTGCTCTCTTTTTCTCTGGTTTCAATTAACGTCCTGCACCTGAAGAAGCTTTACAAAATATACATGTGTTTCTGGCAAGTTTTAGTGGTTTTGATGATCCTGACTTTTCTGACAGGCAGCTACTTCATAAAATAAATTCCTGATCATTTCTAACTATAAAATTCATACTAGGAGCAACTTGAAGACGAGGAGCTTAAATATTGATTAAATGAATTTCCTTTAGGCTCTGATAATAAACCAGTATTACTAAAAGTACCTAGATTCGCATTTATGGGATTTTACTGAAACTATTTTCTTCCCTTGAGAGAGTCCTTTCTTTTTCCATCTCTTCAGTCTTATATCACAATAGTGGGCATCCAACTTGCTACAGTTAGTCTTAGTCAGCTTGATGCAGAAACTGGAAGTTTGTTAAAACACCACAGAATGGTACTAAGCGTAAACTTGCTACAGCAAGAAGAAAAGCAATGTAGATTTTAATTACAAATGATGGTGCTAATTCAATATTTCTAGAACATCTCCACAGCAGGCACCTCTGTGGAGTGTTCTCCCCTGTTACATTTGAGGGCTTTCCTGGTGCTGTTGGACTCAGATATGGAGAATGTGAAGCATCTCCCAGTAGCCCATTTACTTTTCCAATGGAAAGTCTTAGCTGCTCTTTCCCCTTGGTTGAACTGGTTAGCACACGAGTGCTAATGGAGCACATGAATGTTTGCCGGAGGACAATTTCCCCATGGACATTGCAAGAAACTCTCCCAGGGTTGATTTTCTTTACTCAATTTATATTTTTACCTGAATTGCAATATAACCTACAAACATATAACATAGTCATGTTTCCCCCCCATTCCTGGTACATGGTAGTGCCTATTTTCTGCTTTTGTTTACCAGGATTTTATGGAGACCCCCAGGTACTCGTTAATATGCCCTGTTCGTTATTGCCACCCCTGAGCCACAGGCTGTAAATAGCAGCAGGTGGTACCTGCAGTGTATAGCACACTACCTTGCAAAGCATTTTGCAAACTCTCTCACAAGGTTTGGACTTGGTATCCAAACAAAGGTTTAAAGATAATATTTTCAAAGTGATAAGGGATAGCCAAGCTTTCATCCCATTTTAGTAAAAACATCTCTGTCTAATACACTACTTGTACTTTTCTCACTGGTTATTCAAAGGCCAGCCCTACAACATTATCTAGGAATAAATGAATGCCTTTACCAGCACTGTGCCCATCAGTACTTGTATCCCTTTCAGAGTCATTATTTGCACAGGCATTTTTTTTATTTCCTTTTCTACCTTTCCCTCTGCATGTTCCTGCCACGCTTTGCATATTTTGGTTGCACCTATAATGGAAAGAGGAGCAAAAGAGAACCAGACCAGCAGGTGTAGAAAATGAAGTTTTCTGCTTCTATGCAGAATGGATGCGATGTGTGCATCAGCAGGGCTGCGTTTATCCAAGCAGCTTACACCACATCAGCCTTGTTCTGCAGGACCATGCCAGAGGGTGGCGAGAAAGAAATGATTTATATTTGTGCATTAGACATCCTAATTCCCTCATGCACAGTTTCAATAGAAAGAGACACCAAGAGCTTTAGAAATGTGTTCCTAATTATACATCTCATCAAATGCTCAACACTTATACCCACGATGAGCACAAAGCACTTGTCTACTCCGCCACCTATCCCCTTCCTGAGTTGTCCTTTTTAATGGTCTCTTATGTAAAGAGAGTTGGCCGCTTAAATATTTGAAGTCTGCCAGTTTAAAAGATTTAAAGTATTTTAAAAATGCAGAATAGATTTTTTTTGTGCTCTTATCATTCAAAAAACCTTCAGTGATAGTTTTTTTTAATTAAAAAAATCCCTTTGGGCTATGAATGCCAAGTTTTAGCCTGGAGGGAATTTTTATTGCAGATATAAACCCCTGGAAATCAGAGTATGTATACATATATACAGAGCCTGATAAACCCTTGACTGTGACACTGCTACTGAGGGCTGCTATAATATCTGATGACAAAACTGACAGATTACTTCTGATGAGAATGTGGAACCCTTTTTGTTTTTAACTTGACCCTGAAGACGTGTCATAACATTTGTAATATCTGCAATAAAGTGTCAACTAGACTGCTGTAAGACTGCTGGAGCTTGGAGTTAAGCATTCTGTTTAGTGCTCCTACAGCTTTCAATTTAAAATAAAAAAGACTCTTAATTTCCTTTTGGACAGTCCAGACCTAGTATAACTGCACTAATTTGTCTTGGCAAATATGAAGCAGTTGTGGAGAACATGACTACTGGAAAAGAAATCCAGAGCAATAGACAAAACAGAATAGAATAAACCTATCAATCGTTTCTACATAAATTCGAGATTTACAGCTCCGTAGAAACAATCTTAGGAAGGGACTGCAATAAAGCGAGTGTCAGCGACCACCTCAGTAGTAGGACTAACTTGATTTCAGGCTGCGGTGAATTAAAATTTTGCTCTAACCTCTAAGCTACGCAAGGCTCATCAAGCATTTTAAGACCGGTTCAAGAGAAATAAAAATGGCAATAGTGTCCCGTTCCCCGTAGTCAGATGTCATGTTTTGGAGTCCAGTCATTCAGTTAGGGAAATGGACCCCAACGGGTTGGTCTCACCAACCCCATATCTCCCAAGCACTGTGTTTTCTTTTATTGATCCACATTAGTCATGATGAACATAAGAAAACTCATCTTGTCATTGGCATAACATCTACTCATTGGCTCAGAGATGGTATTTTTAAAGAAGCTCGTTGCAGACTGGAGCAGAGGAGCCCCACTTCTCTGATAACGTGTCCCAAAATTAATAGCTTGATCTAAAAGTGAGCACCAGGCACAGTTCCATGAAAGACAATATTTTGCTGCCACTAACAAGGGCTGATTTCTTTGTCTAAGTGTACAATATAGTAAAACTAAGCTTTATTTCCCAAGAGATGAAATACTTCATTTATTTGTGTAACTTCCTCAGACTTTAAATTCTTGTGTGTTTCAGGACTTCGGTAGTTGCCTTCTTGTAATATTTCAGCTTTTAAGCTGTTTTCTTGCCTCACTGAACTCACATAAGATACATCTGAAAGCTTTAGTACAAATTTACTTCGAATAAAGTCTTCAATTCATTTTCATGGCACCAAAAAGACAGCTTTAATAACTGCAATGACAAATAAACTGGAAATCATTCCAGGCCTTTTCACTTAACTGACAAGTAGAACGCTCTCATAATGAGCCGCAGGTTTTACGTTTTCTCTTTGACCATAATAGCTTCATTTAAGAGCGTCAGACCCTGACACTTCATCATTTATCTACATTATTTCTCATCTTCTTTCAAATAAATTATGGAATACTAGACTGAGCACATAAAAACAAAGTGACTTGTTATCTGTAAACAGCAAGATAAATTGTCCAGAAGTTCCTCATTTAGTTCCTTTTAAATTTAAGGGCAAGTTATTGGTTATACCTTCTTTTTTCTTCTTTTTTTTTTTCTTTTTTTTTTTTACTATCCCAATTTTTTGCATTTTTTTACAGCCATCTTATTCTGTTGCCAGTGGCCTTTGTGCAGCCATCCAAAGCCTGATGATAGTGCAGTAGGCATAAAATAATTCCATTATCCCAAGGTTGGCCAGGGTAGTACAGAAAGGAAAAAATATTGAAAAAATCAAATAAACAACATACATGGGTATTTCTCTCCATCTCTAAAATTCCTCGACTATAATACATCTTGTCATACTAGCAAATGTGACACATCCAAAGTAATGAACAGTGGGTTCTGTAACTGTTCTCGCCTTTAGAAACATAGCTTTGATGCTTACCATCAGTGTAAGTTGCCCTACCCTGGTGAAACATTAATTCTTGTCTTAGAGCCATGTCGAACACACGGAGTTTGCATTTATTGTATTTTAAAATTATATTATTTGAAAGACAATTAGCAACACTGCATTCACATTTTAATTATTAGTGATGGATGAAATTACGAGGGGTTTGCTCTAATAATATTGCTCATTTCCAGTGCACCTCCTCCTGTGAAAAACCACTGAGCATGTCTACCCCATGGCCCAGGGGTTTAGAGACACCTCACTCCCCCGAGTCCCCGAGCCAAGCCATCAAAGGCTGTAAGGCCACATCAGTGGCAAACAGCCATCAGCGTGTTTAACCCTGCCAAGTTAAAGGACATGTTAGCATTGGAGCCATCTCACAATGTGCCCTGCAGGATCAGTTTCAGGGCACTTCCCACACACTACAGCCCTTCTCTTCTTTGGGAGACTGCTCAGATTATTCTGGTTTTATAGATGGGAAATTCAAGACATGGGTATGTTTGTAGTAGGATTTCAATAACTAAACCCTACACCACTACAGATTTTAAGCCATAACTTTCAAGTAAAATCTGTAAAAGTAAAAACTAGGATGGAAACCTTTTCAGAGTTGTCCTTCATTTTATTTTGAAGGATTTATTTTAAAAATGAATAAAATTAGAAAGGGACTCATTCAAGAGTCCCTTTCCCAAGAGACACTGTCTCTTACCAGCCTCCTTGAGAAGATGAGGAACTGTAAAGAGCCTAAAAAACTCAAATGACTGGGCAGGACTCTTTGCCCAAGTGAACTGGCTTGGCTTGAAGTCTGAATTTTGGTGCCAAGTTTAGATGGAGTCTTCTTTGACCAGTGCACAGCACCATCATCACTCAGTCTAAGGCTTTATAGAAGAAAATGGCATGGTTGGAGAAGGACTTCTTGTAGGATTCCTTAGCAAACATAAAGCCAGACCTTGACCTGCTTGACTTTCCAGGTACTTTTTCTTTCAAGCTCTTTCTTTCCCTCTCAGCTGTGAGCTCCTGGTGCTGGCACCACGGGCACACAGCCATCTAGCAATTCAATCATGTTATCTGAGCAATGCAGGCAACAATCAAATAAAGACAAAAATAAGAGTTTAAGCTGAGGTTCCCATCAGTTGCAATTCCACATACATAACATTTTAATTATATCTCATCTCCAGTGTAATAGTTAGAGATACCATTTGATACAGTGTTTTGTTTTTTTTTTATTTGAAAAATTAAATCTAACTAAATTAGCAAAAATAAAGTAGTAAAAGTTAATTGGGAATTATCTACTACAAAATAACTCTTACTGGTAAATGCTTTGTGTGGTTATAAAAGGCTGATAAATATAATTGTATTTATGTAATGAGTATCATGTTTAATTTACTGTACTTGGTTGTTTTATACACCATTTTATGCAGGCCTCATAAGTGAGCTTCTTATTATTGCTTGTATTGCTTTTTTTCATTAAAATATATATATATATATCACCCTTTGATGCAGCACATAGGAAATGTCCAACAGATTTTGAACAAGGTAGCGATTAGCAGTTTGTCCAGAGTAATATTCAGGATGATCTGCATCTGTGTGACCTAAAAATAAGAGCGTTTAGTAACACTCTGCACACTGACGGTTCATGCCTAAGTGGCTTGACACAACACGCAGCGGTCTGGCATATGTAGTCCATGGCTCAAGAACTGTGATGTTAATCTCCGAGCTCGCCGTCAGATGGGCAATTACAGCCGAGTGCATGACGATGGAGTAATGCTCACTCCTGGCAGGGCTGCTCTCTGCAAAAGGGTGAAATTTCATTTTTGCACTTCATCTTCAGTTAATACAATTTTGGTCAGATGTTTTCACATTCCAGAAAGCACAAGTCAACCAGGCTGCTGACTTTGTGGGTTTCCTGGTTAGCTCTGTTTTAGGAACAGACTTGAGACTATGCCACTTCTCTGTTACTGTTATTAAAATTTCTACAGAAAAAGCTTTGGCATGTCTCCCCTGGTAAAGATCTTCAAAACTGAGCAGAAGTATGTCCAACACTGGAGATCTGTACATACTCCATGGATGCTGATATCATTTACAACACCAAAAATGCCCAAGAGGAAGGTAAGGTTTCTCTTGTCTGTTTTTTCAGGGATATTTTTGAATTTACATTCATCAGATCCAATACAAACAATTTGCATGATCCCAAGCAATCAGTAGAAAAATAACACTCTAAACTGAGAAAAAATACACGTAATACTGTGGCATGTGAAAATGCTGTTCAGGCACAGAGCAGAACAAATTCTACCTTACATGTCTATGTCCAGCTGCCTCTGAAGTTCTTGGTAGGAACGTCTTTGATTTATAGCTTTGTCCAAAGTCATTACCCTTCAGTCACTGTCAGGGGACTGAATCAGATATGTGTATTTATCTGCCCAATCACAGAGATTGGCAAATAATTTAAAATTTTAATACACATAAATATTTATTAATCTAAGCATGAGGTCTCTTTTTTTTTTTTTTTTTTGAGAAGTAACTACATTCATTGGTCCTATAAAGTTTCTACTTTTACATCACTTTGATGTTGGCCTTTAATTTTTAATTCCATTTACCCCACAAAGTGTTGTAAATCCTGTGAATGAACAGGATATTTGTTCTTCACTTAATACACAGAAGAGCTTAAAGGGATGGGCAGTTTGCTTAAAGTTCTTCCCTAAAATGAAGAGTTTTGCTCAAAAAAAAAAAAAAAAAAAAAAAAAGATCTCCAGCAAACCTATATGTTCCCATCCAAACCCTTCTAGGTTGGCAATGGCCAGTAAAGACAAAACGTGCTGAAGATTTATCAGTGCTCCTCACTGCAGTTGTTTGTAAACCAAGAAGGTAATTCTTTCTTACATTACCAAGATTTAAAAAACAAGGTTATCCAAGATGTTTGTATATCTGGAAAAATAAATAAATGAAATAAATAAATAAATCTGAAATCCAGGGCCTGGTCACTATTGAGAAAATCAGTCTCAACCTCAAGACTCTTAGGAGTATACTTAAGGTCGACAAAGAGGACAATGTATACTTATTTTTGTCAAAAATTTAAGATAGCTCCATGATATCTTTTCCATATTTAGCTAAAGATCTTTGAATATAGGGTGTTGGTAGTACTATGAGGCTATGAAAATCTGTAGCTCCCGTTCATGGTTTGTGATGTATGTAGTAGATGGAGTTTCTACACCCACTAGCACCTACACACATAGTTAAGGACTTGTTTGCATCCTGTCCTACAGCCAACATGTGGCACAGAAGACTCTCCTCTCTGTCACCATTTACACTGCAGAAACTCACAGCATCCACTATCTGAACAAAATTTTGTCAGTAGACTTGCTTCTGCTCAAAAACCATCTCAAAAAATTCGTAACATTATAAAAACAATTGATATTGTACCTTCAGATTTCCTTTTAACCTGCTGCAGTTCACAAGGCAGCTGGAAATCTGAGCTCCACACGTAGTCACAGCACTGGGGTCTGAGGACTAGCCCTCCAAACGAACACTGAAATTTCCAAATAACACTCAGATTTTGAAACTCTAGCAACGCAGCCTCACTTTTAGGCAGAGTCCAACCAACAGCCCTGTTTCAGAATGAGCTGATTGGCAGCGAGTTGGCAGCACTGGCTTGTTGGTTTTGGAATACCAGAAAATCACCAGACACTTTCAATTAAAGAAAGGGCATGTTTCTCTCCGACTCCCCCGTACCTACTCCAGCTTGGCCTGCTTTCTGTTATTTCTGTTGTGGATACAGAGCTGCAAGATTTATTGTATCAGATTAAAAGCAAAGGCTATTAATGTCGGATTCCATAGGGATTTTTTGTTAAGGCTTCTTAGTTTTAGTTTATTTATAAATGATCATCCTGAGGCTTGTAAAAAGGGCTTTTCCCCCCTCTTTTATTCCAGTGACATTGTAATTTATATTGTTGGTATTTCCATAGGAGAAATCAATTCAGAATTACAATTTCTTTCTTTATAACAGCAGCTAAATTGGGTCTGTGCCTCTATATGCAAGTTATTAACAGATTTTACACTATTAGAGTGCCACAAATTAATATATCCTGCCCCAAAACATAATAATAATAACAATAAAGTCATGTAGTGTGCACTGACCACAAACCCGCAGAAAAGAGCAATGTCTCATACAGCCACATGGTGGCTGGGAGGCAAATGGAGAAGGAACCTGCTGGAGACAGCAGTGAAATTGGGAAGGTGAGCAGACAAGTCTCAAATGTCCCCCAGCTGGCATTTTGCTCTCTCTCACAGTTGGGTCTAATCAATAAAGACTGAGGAAACCATACAAATATAAAAATTTATAAATTATAAACATAATGAACCAACAACCAACTACATACAGACATGCTCAGAACAGTCTTTTTCTAATGCCATAGTTTGTATTAGGATAGGTCCCATCTTTAAGAGGCTCAGGATGTGTTTCAGTAGTAGGACCAGATGTGGCTCCGTATGCTTACACCCACACTGGAGCAGCAACTGGTGCAGTCAAAGAACTTAGTTCAAGATGAGTGTGGGGCTGGAGTGGCCAGCAGACCTGGAGCCACTTGGAGCATCTTGTAGCACGCAGCATCTCCAGTTTGAAGGATGTTTCCCTGCCCACCCTAGGATAAGGGTCAGAAGTCCAGGCTTTGAGAAGCACGTGCTTCCAAAGGGGGGTTATTGCAGAGAGCAAGACACCTGGCTTGACTTGGGTCCCACCAAGAAATGGAAGAGGCTGCCAAATGATTCTTATTGAAACGAGGGAAAGAGGGACTTGGTCTTTGGATATTACCTTCTTTAGGCACCCAGTTACTGTTTCAAAATAGCACTTTTTTGGTAAATCTGAATTGCGAGGGCGGTACTGCATTTCACTAAGCATCCACATGGCTTAATTTTTTTCTGCCAAGTTTCTGCCTGACATTTGGACTGACACTGAGCAGGGACTAGAAGCCTGGCTCTTGTCACTGCCAACCATGGGCCAACAGGGGGGTTATGCTGAGATTTCTAACAGCACAAGATGAAAGATTTGTAAAGCACACTTGAGCTAAACTTCCTCTGCTTTCATTTGAGGTGACCGACTCAGATCTCTTAAGTCTTCCATACATTTTTACCTTCAACAATAAGATTCTGTAAGTACAAGGATACAAAGTCCTGTACTCCTGCAGAGATCACAGCTTATATGACCATACTAAATCCTGCAAGATATTCCTTATAATCTCATTTGTACCAAATACTACTTTCCCCTTCTGAACATGGGTTCATCAAATAGCGTGCTTGTTAATGTTTGCTCGACTTTCTGCATCAGCAGACTAGAGATATTTCATGGCATAAAGTTACTATTTGATACAAACATGGAAGATAATAATTAACCAAGAGAAGGAATTCAATGGACAGAAAACACTTAGGAAAACAGAGAGGACAGGTCTTGCCCCAGACAGAATCTCCTCTCTTCCAGTTCAGTGCACCAGCACAAGCTCATAATATTACCCAGCTTCGAGGGGTACCAACGAAGGCCATTGAACGCAGCAGTTATGACACATCAAGTGTGTCATAATTACAGAAACATCTGCTCCAGATGTTTTCGATACATCGTGCATCACCATTTTTCACAATAGCCCGCCAAAGTTTACATTTCCTATCTGCAGCAGATTGATTATTATTATTATTTCAATTAAAATTAATTCCCATTAAAGGTATTAGACGACAGCTGTAAAAACTCAGAGCCTTCATTTATTATCAGCTAAATAATATTAGAATGGCATCAGCAGCACAGGTTTTTCTCTGTGTGGCACCATAGGAGCCCCCCCATCATAGGAAATTTTATATGCCCAGTATCAGACCACCCAGAGGAGCCCAAAATGGGCACATCGATACACAGCTTCCCTCAAAATAAGTAAAATCGTAGTGTGGGTTCCTTCATATGCTAACTAATGTGGGAGACACAGAAGGGAATATACTGATTGCCCAAGTTCTGAAGTAAAACCGATGGTCTAACAGAAAATGATGTCCTTATAAGGTCTTTAGAGTCATTTGGAAACACATTATTTGAAATAAAATACAGTAAATCTATTCTCACACACACAAAAAACCCTGATCTTTTTCTTTTTGACACAGCATTAGGTGCCTTAGACGTTGGAATAAGGCAGTGAAAAATAAACCAATTAAGTCATGATGAGCTTGAGAAGGTATGCATGCATTAGTTTCTTTTTCCCTTTTAAAGCTGTCACATTTCTCTTGCTTCTTGTGTTTTTAAACTGTAAAGGATTCCTGTGTTTCACCGAGACAAAGGATGGGCTCGCAAACTCTGTCTTCTGAAGTGATGAGGTAAAGAACACTGCGGGAGTACTTGCCAAATCATACCACCATTATTAATTCAGGCATGATGAAAGTGTTCATTTTAGCTATAATCATGTAATTCATCAAAATACTAGTAGAGCATATCATTCTGAACTATTACACTGATATAGCACCTTATTGCACCTTCACCGAAAGCAGGAAATGTATTTTTTGATGCTTATCTACTGAAAAGCAATTCAGTTTGGGATTTTGGAAGCGCTATCTTATGTTACAATAAAAAGGAAATTTCAGACATATTTCCCGTGCTTGTATGATGTTGTTGTTATGTATTTGGGTGATTATCTCCAACGATGAAGTTTAAAAATTGTAGAGTACTGAAACAGTGTATTTATCCAGAGCTGGAGGAAGGAAAAATTGGGTTATGAATATACAACATCGTATGAAGAAGTTTAAATGTAGATTTTGGTCTCTCTCTCTGCCCACCTTTAAAATAGCTCGAGGCCAAAATCTGTTTGCCGTGCAAACCTTTCAAAAAAAGGATTCTCTGGAGTTCTTTCAGTGACAAACAATACTTGTAAAAAAACGAATCCTTTGATAAATGTCAGGATGTTAAAAGGAATAAGAGCAGCCCAGGCTCCGGCAGAGCTGCAGATCCCCATCTCACCGTCTCGAGCCGTGATTGCCCTCTCACTCTGCCTATCTGTCTCTTGCTCGGCGCACACTTTTGTGAGCAAGTTGAAATTGCAAGGGGAAAAAAGAAGGAGAAGAAAACAACGTGAAATTAAATAAAGCCACGCCAAGTACAGGCCTAGCTGATTCTTTTCACGAATTAGCCAGCGCGCCGTTGGCACGGAGCTGGCTGGCGCTGCAGCTGTGCAGACTGCTGAGTGACGCACCTAGATAATTTCCAAAGAACAAAAAGTCGCTAATTGTCCACATCAGGAACGCTTCGTTATTACAAATAGAAAAGCAAAAAGTTAGCCATTCTCACTCCCAGGCAAAATCAAAGAAAACGAGATTAATGCATGCTGAACGCATGCAGGGCTACATTTAGAAGAGCTGGCAATAAGCTCCGGTGCCCCTTTTTCTCTCTTCCCTTTTCCATCCTCCTCAGCCCCAGGGTGGGCATCCTCCTACATGAATAAAAAGTGAAATCTGGGAACTGGCAGTGGGTAACTGAGCAGGCAGTGTGTACGTGCACCTGAGCTTGCCAGGGAAAGACCTGGTGGGCCCCTTTTCCCCTCTGCAATGAGGTGCCAACCTCACAAAGCTCGCAGCTCAAAGGCCAATGAGGATTCCTAAAAGCATCTTCTAATCTGGAGTGAGATATCCTCAAAGAATGAATAAAATGTAAATCCAGTACTAACAGGAAGGCCATAAACCAAGGCCTATACTTCCACTAGATGAGGTGAAGGACCAGGGCTTGGGTGACAGCTGAGTAGGAGAAAGAAATCATGTCTGCATTGCCCCTGCCTATCCCACTAATCCAATAAAGCTACAGCGCTCCATCCTCCTTCATCGCTTCCACACCACGTTGGCACAAAGGATACATCAAAATAGACCCAGTGCTTTTAGTTCAAAGGGAAAACAGAAAATACAGAGAAAAAGGCTGT